TTATTTACCAAGAAAAAAGGTCACATAGTAATGCCTTTTTTGAAAGTTTTGGTCCCGAGAGTAGCCTTGTGAGATAAATCTCTCTTTTTCCATGAGAGTGCTGGGGCGAGGAGGGAGTGGCCAGGCAGCTGCAGCCAACTTACAACTCTGATGCCATGTAGACAACCATATAATGCAAAACATTTACAGTAAAACAATAGGCAACATTGAACCGTGATCACTTTAGTCCTTTTGCACAAACAAGGCTCCTTAAGAGATCATGTAGTCTCACAGGCTCATTTACAGGCATGTGTCCTTGCCGCATGTTAAACATCAACCTTTGACTCACAACTCCTTTTTCATACTGGGTGAAAGTCATGTCTGTACAAACAAGAGCCACAAGCTCTTTCAGTCTCTCGTGAGTCTTATTTCAGAGCACGAATAGGATTTAAAAGTGAGAGAGAAATTTGATAAAATTGCCGCAAAAGTAAAACTACTGTTTAAAGAAATATTTCTGCAAGATAAACTAAATCAGTCTCACTTACAGACTATCGCCTCATAGTCCATTTTAAAGACCAGATCCTCAGCGGGGTGAGCAGCACAGCTCCACTGAAATCAACTTAGCTCAGCCAAGAATCTACTCATAAGGGTTCAGCCATAAGAAATGTATTGTCATCATGTTTCGGAGAACCAGCTGAGCTGACTGAAAGCACGCTATTGTAATTCACAAAGAACACAAATAAGCCAAAATATTTTATACGTGCTGTATAAATATTAATAATAAAAGGTCACAATACATGTAAGCATACTACAAAAATAAAACAAAATAACTGGAATGTTTGCCTAGCAGTTTCACTGGGGAGGTGAGAGCAGGTGATGTATAAGCAGAGACTTTCCGCCATTAGTGACGTTATTTTAGAAAGATGCTACAGGTCAAATTCTGGCATCAAATTTACACGCTGGGGGGAGGATTGTGAGATACCATCCTGCCTTCTGCTACAACTCTCTCTCCAGAAGTTTTCTGGGCTGTGCAAGGATGACAGTCAGCCTATACATCCAAACCAGAGGCAGCCAGAAATCCTCATGCTCTGCTTGCAAACCAATTGACTGGAACTGGAAGGGACAGCTGACATAAGTGAACTCTTTGTCAAAGAAGTCAGCCACTTGGCAGGGAAGCTAAAAAGCTGAATTTTGCCAGCCTTGCACAGAGGTTACCACCGAGTGCATTGGGCTAGTCTTGTCAGGCAGGCTCTTTGTCAGTCAATAGGTTTGATGATGTCCCATAGCTCAGAGCTGCTTGTGTTTTATTCTGAAGACACAGTGTTCAGCAGGAAAATCTCACAGGAATTAGAAGAATAAAGCTGTAATGAAAACAGATTTACAGCTCCAGGGAAAAAAACCCGCCCTAGCCACTTACATTTTGATGACCTGAATGCTTTGGCTGTCTGTGCCAGCCTCACACATTAGCATATTGTTGTAAGTGGTGTCATTCAGCAGGAGCCTAAGTAAGGTGTGAGGTGTGTCCCCGTCAGTGGATTCCTCCTGCCCAGGACCTCAGCCCAGTGACAAAGCTTTCTGTCCCCTTCCACCCTGTCCACCCCAGCCCACCATGGGCCGGAGCCTGCTGCCCCCTCCGCCAGGCTGGCAGGGCTTCGGTGGGTGTGTGTATGTGTCAAACACACCTACCAACCAGCTGTACAGTTTATGTGTTCTTTAGATAGCACAGCCCATAAGGGAAACTGCTTTTTAAAACGTGAAAAAATATATATAAAAATACATGTGCGCACTGAGACTACTGAATCTCTGTCCGTGGGGAACACCCAAAAGAAAAGGCCCTGACCAACACCCCAACAGAACCGGGCCCTGCTCCAGCACTAGACAGATGACACGCGAGGCCGCCTCCCCCACGTACCACTGAGAAACAGAGACCCTACCATCAAACTGCAGAAAGCACGGAGAAAACGTGCTGGGCAAAAAGATGCGCCCGCACGCGTGCCGGCGGGTTTACATCGTCATAATCCCACGTCCTCCGCGCCCTACACCGC